GCCTTTGTAGTGCATGCTTAAAAATAAATGCAGAATTAGGATAAGGAGAACAAGCCTTCATCAAGCACGGGGTCAAATAATTTCAGAAGCTCAGATAAGTTTCACTCCTGTCACATGAAAACTTGCAGATTTTGCCTGAAGTGGACATCATTTTGACAGGGCCCTCTGTATGCACAAAGCGAGAGTAATGACTGTCTCTCTCTCAGATGGCATGAGACCTGACATGAGACCAGATGCAGAAATAAAAAGCGTATTTTAGATGTAAAGCTCACACAGAAGAAAAACAAGTTGTCTCTTTTTCAGCCAGACAATAAGCATCATTCATTTGGAAAGGTCAATATTAATTAGCAAATCCAGCAGGGATAGTCTGTCACAGGCTTTTTTGTGCATCTGGTTTTCTCTGTGGCAAATGAAAGATAATCCATATTCAGTCAGAGGTCTAAAAGGTGTCTTGTCTCTGAAATTCCAACCAGCTTTAAACAACTGGTAAATATATCTAATTTAATTTTAAAAATTCAACATGTTTAAGAAGATTATCCTTGATTTGTGTCTTGGCTCCTTCCATGATTCTGAATTCTTTAAAATCAAAGGTAATCTCAAAAAAGCCTAGCAGATAACCCAGCTGAGTTACATGGCTGACTGGCAGGACAGTGGCATTTATCCTTGGGGGAAGGCTGGCATTGATTTCAGGCCTGAATTTCACTTAAAAATGTGGAAAAGGACTCTCAGTGGAAAAAACACCCCTTTCATCATTGGCTGGCATCTCAGAGTTACAAACCAAACCTGGAATTCACTCTGCACTGCTCTGGAAACCACTTCACACTTTTAAGATGCTGATTGTCCTGCCCATGGGGTTGGGATGCACCAGCTGAGAAGTTTTCTCCGTTGAGGGAGAGGCCAGGGAAGATGGTGCTGGCATTGCCTGTTCCTACAAATCCTCCCGTGGCCAAAGGGAGCAGGGCTCTAAATGGCTCCTGCTACAGACCCAGGGGACACGGGCTTGAGAAATCTGTCTGGAGGACAGACAGCACCAGCTCAGGGTGACAGAGGCTAATGCTACACAATCCCAAAATCTGTGGTTTTAAGATCACTGTAGCACACAGAGCAATAAACTTGAAACTGCAGCTCCTCTTTCCTTGAAGTATTTTGCTGTAAATTTTGCACATGGGTAATGGATAATTAGAAACAGGGTTTTAGTCTACAAATACATACTAAGAAATGAATAGTAAAAAACCCTTAAAGCAACATACAGAATTTAAATAAATTACTGCAGCTTCTGAAGTATGCAATGACTTTAAGATGTTAAGGCCATTACATGAAATATCAATAGGAGTTATACTCTTGAGTGACTTAAATTTCCATATTGCATAACTATACAGTTTATATTTACCATTTAATAATAGTTTTAATAATTCTGATAAACTACTGAAAAAGCACTTTATTTTGTTCTGACTTCACATGCTCAGTTTTCTTTAGCTGACTGCTTTATTGCATGATTTGTTGAAACAGCCATATGTACCCATCTAGCCTACCAGCTGTTTGGAAGAATGATATTAACTCCATGCACATTTATGAGGATCTCTGAACATAATATTAGCAATAAAAAATTAAAAACCAAATTAGCAAATATTTGTTAATTGAACAAATGCTGCTGTAAGTATATTTTTAGACAGGATGATCTTACTGCAACAGTATCCCTACGCTTGTCTTCCTTGACACCTAAACCCCTTGCATAAAAATTTATGGAATTTGAGGTGGGGGGTAATTCTTTTATTTCTTCAGTGTTCCCAGCTGACTGCTCTAACAACAATGGTGACACAGATTTCCATATACTGAAAGGTTCCATATTATTTAAATTAATTCCCTATTTGTTGCTGCTTGAGTCTGACTTTCATAACTTTAATCTTTAACTATAACACCGTGGACTGCAAGAACACCTTCCTCAGTTCCACTCCTCTAATAGTCTAAACAAGCAGGGACATTCATCTCTTTGGCACCTCCTCTCCAGAACATTTTTGATGGCATTCTCTCCCACTACTTGCAAAATCTGACAATATCATGGAACAGCATCAGGTATGTACCTGCTCTATGCTTACAGAGTGGTCTTTCCCTGATACACACTTGCAATAACTACATAAGATTTTCTTGTGATCTTCACTCAGCACTACACAATCTGTTACAGAGCTGTTATAAGAAGCAGTTCCAGGCAGTCTATTAGAGACACAACACATTTTATCACACCTTATCAGAATCTCAATGACCATTCAAAATCCAGCTACTGACCTGATATTTTTTCACTGCCTTATAAATAGATTTGGTGGTCTGAGATTATTTTTCTTAGGGACAGATATCCCCAGTACAACTCATCACACAAATTGTCAGCTTGCTACTAAAACTCAGCATAGGCAACAAGGATGAGTACATATGGAAGTAGTCTCATCTTGTCCATGTCAAAGCCACAAGGATTTATAAGGGAAGCCTTGTAGTGCTGCTGTCACTAATGCCAAAAAGAGAGATTCTGCCACTAAGCTTAGAAAACCAGAAATCTTCAAGACATTATAATTTATTAACATCCTGCGATGGTTGACTTACACTATAGACATTAATATGTAATTTATTTTTACAGTATGGCACAGTAATTATTCATGGCACTCTCTAAATCTGTACAAATGGAAGGGCTCTCCCCCCAAGAGCTGCAATGGACTTCATGAGAGCTACAGAGATTTGAATAAATAAGGGGGAAAGGAGTAAATGAAAAAGTTCACAACATATGCTCATTATCCAGGTGTTTTTGTTAAGTGTTACATTGTATCTTGTATCCTTAAGAATAGGTATGTCCATTACAATCTTGGAACAGCATCTGAAATACAGCACACAGTGATACTAGACTGTGCTGAGAAAGCAGGGATGCATGGCACAGTGTGAGGGTTTACTGAGACTCCAGTTGTGGTGTTTTGCTTGAAAAGCGAAGTCAGTTATGGGGAAAGACTGAAAGACAAGGCAAGAGCAGGGCATTGATCATGCATATGCACCAGTTGTAAATTCAGCAACTGTAAAGAGAAATCAGATGCACAGTCAAGGTAGAAGTGAGACAATCATGCAAATAACTAGATTTTGCAGACTGTTTTTTGATATATCCTTTTAGGCTGCTATGGGCTGTATTTAATTCACTTTGCTTGTCTCTGAGAGCTATACTGAAACCACCCCAATCAGCAGTACATGAGCCTACTCCTTTTAACACTTTGGAAGTTCTACCACTGCTGTATCAATTTTGTACTGTACACACTCAGATTCTCAATGAGCTTGACTTGACTTCAGTGCAGCAATGCTACATTAAATGGCTATTTTCTAACTCATAGATCTGGAAAATGGGGTTTAATCAATGACCATTAGACCTTGCGCTCCCTTCTGGCATAAAATGCCTTCTTTCATCCAGCATTGCTGTATTGTGGCTTTAATAAGTTCTGATTGGCATTTGGCATTGAGTTACAGGGGCATGGAGGCCTTATTAGCAGGAAGAAATGGAAGTATTACAGAACAAAACAATTAAGTGGGACAGGATAACTCACAGCATTGTGTCAGACTGTGTCATGCTTACATTTCACTTCATGGTATTGAATTCCCCCTACAAGTACAAGGAGATACAGCTAACAAAGGTAAAGCACTTCTCTGCTTGGGAAATTGTCCTTGAAGGTTATTTTTTATAATTGGACACCACATCCTAAGAGGTTCTGAGCATGTGCATTTCTCCTTGCAGTCCTAGTCATGGCTTTAAATTCACTTCAGTTTTAAAAATAGCATATGTATGAAATCTGCGCACCACTTATGTCTCATTTAAATCTTTGCATACTTTTTCCTCCTCTCTTGCCCCTACTAATAAAATCTGCCTATGTCAAACAGGTTCAAATAGGCACCAAATGGCATAAAACCTCTTATGTGCTCTAGTACTAAAAGAATTTCTCTTGAATTTCCTTCCAATGTTCCAGCATGGAAAAAGACACTGATGGCCCAGTTCTGTGAGATGGAGGTGTCCTGGAAGAGCCCTCATCCTGAAGGTGACTAAAGCAGAGCCACCACAGTTCATTCATGAGGTTCCCAGCTTCTCAGTACCCACCCACACAATGCCTTTGTCTGGGCACTGTCAGTCTCAGGAGATGAGGAACAAACAGGTGGTTTGCACAAGGCAAAGTGCCCAGGCTTGCCAGATTACTGGTGGGAAGAACCACAGCCTGTCTTCTCTAGACCACAAAGAGCTGATAGTGAGACAATATAAACATGCATTTTTTCTTCAAGTTTTACTTTGAGAACAAAGATAGTCACATATTTTAAAATTTTACTTCCTTTTTCTTATGTACATTTCAGATATGAACTATCATGATTTGGTGATTCATCTAAAAAATTCACAGGCTACATAAAATCATGTAGCACGGATGACAACTTCTATACCAATACATTTTTTTTTCTTCCCCTCCTTCCTCCCTCCTCCACCCTGTTCTAATTCATTATTGCATTTCCTCTGAGTTTGTTCAGACATAGTGTTGAAAAAATACATATAGGGAATGGGGGACTACATTTTTAGGAAGGATACTGAGATATCCTAATTCAGAAAACAGATTCAAAATTTGAAGGCAGTCTCACAATCGAAATTTCCTTGCTCTAGCATTGAGAACAGTACTTGTGTATTCAAACCAATATGCTCACCTACTTAAATACTCCCTTATCCTCTTTGATTTGTTAGGAATCCTCTCTATTTCACTAGAATTCAGAGTTCTGCACTGATCCCTGCAATAAGAACTGTAAGGGCAACCAGTCACAGTCACGACTGTTACCACGTTCATAGCAAACACTTGCACAGATGAAAAAAAATTATTTTTGCTGCTTTCTTTTCAAATGTGCCTGCAAGTGAGAAACTGATACACCAAGGTAGGCACCCATCTACGTGCTGTGTGGTAATAGCAAGACTTTAATGACATCTGTGGCTCAATGGAGCAAGGACTTACGCTTGGAATGTTTGTCACAGAGGGCCGATGCCCTCATGTCGCAGAGTCTCAGGGATCCTTTGCTGCTGCTGTAGACAAAGAGATTGCAGTGGTGGGGATGGAACTCAGAGGCTGTAATCACTTCTGTCAGGTCCTCCATATTGGCTGGCTTTATATCCACAATATCTGAATGGAAGTTTCATCAAGAAAAATGCAGGTAAACCATGACTCTTACTTGAAGGAAGCACGCAAATTATCGGTTTCTCTTGGTCTGGACTGAAGGCACTTGAGACAGTACTTCATGCTCAGACTAAAGTGTTTATTATTTCTCATCAGTAAAACAGTCTCACTACTGCGAGTTCAGCAACTTTTTCATTAGCAAAGCACAAAATGGCTAACTATCTCTTGTTACAAGGTTTTTTAAGACTAAACTATCAAATTAAGAACTGACACCTAGATTATTTTCCCTTTAAACCCAAAAACTGATCCCAAAGAACCCGCAATGTGGACTTTTCTGCCCAATTACAGAGTGCAACCCAAACCCTAGAAGAAGAAGGAAGGAGGAGCATGAAGAAGAAACCCAGGACGACACCCTGTGCCCCCATCTTGCTTCTATCCACAACATAGCAAAATCCCAAAACCTAAATTTCTCACCACATGATACACCTACACTACTCTCCATAATCTATTTAGGAAACTTTCTCCATGAATGAGAGTCAAAGTCAGTGCTCCCCTGGGGGTCAGGACACCCCAGAGCAGAGAGAGAAATATTCCCAGTGCCCTGGGTTTCCACAGCAAATGTGCATACATGTAATGCTTTTAAAGATATACTCAATTTTTTGGTAGTATTACAGTTTTCAATTTCCATACCTGGCCCACTTAATACCAAAGAGCAATGTAAAACTGCATGGTTTTACTGCAGATGCCATCAGCAGGTCACTATTTATCCATGCTCTGCAAAACATCAAAGAAACAGTGTTGCAGGGACACAGAATTCTCACTTCAATTCTTTATTGAAGATAATAGAGAACAGGTAGCTATATCTCCTGCACTTGCTATTGAAACTCCTGCTCTATCCCAGATAATGCTGACTAAGAGGGAACAATGCACAGCTCCGATCTGCTCACTCCAGTAAGGCTCACTGGCTTTTGTGATTATGCAACTTAAGCTAAAACTACATGTAGATTAATGTAAAAGACTTTAAAAAAAAGAAAAGAAAAACTGTGCTTTATGCAAATAATTTTGGGTGAATATACACTAATACAATTTCCTTAAAAACAATTATGCACAGTGTTAGGTTGCTATTTGAATATTTACAAAGTAGTATCTGAAACGGCATTCTTGTGTTTTTATGTAAATGAAATCCACTACCAAAATCACTATGAATTTCTGTGACTGAGAATTGCACACCTGAAGCATTTAAGTGAACACGATCTGGAACAAAAATATATCAACTATCTAGTTTCCCAAGCACAAACTTGTTAGCTAGATCACCAAAGATTACCCTCATGAGGGATAACTCACATGGTGCCTCTCCAACACCTACATCTCCACTCCCACACACTACCTGCCTTAAAGCCCAGGACCCACACTGAGCCCATGTTTGGAGGAGAAGGCCAGTCTGTGAAAGATTGCTTACAGAGAAAAGAATGAAAGTAACAGTCTCATAAGGGGGCTGGAAGAAAGCAATAGATACACAAGCATAAAATGAAAGATGGATATATACATATGTAAAGCAGTACATTTAAATAAGATTGTGCATTTTCAAATGGCCCTCAGCAATCTGCTGCAGATAAGTCATCCAAATGTTCACAAATCCTTCAAACAAGAAGAGTAACATTACCCGATTTTACTGATGAGTTTGTGCGAGAAGCAATAAAGGATTTGCATAAGATCACTTGGGAAGTGCATGACAGAACAAACCCAGATCTACTGAGTCCCAGTGCAGGGCCCTAAACACAAATCATCTCAGTGCCTGGATTCCCTGAACATAAAATTTGAATCAGCTGAGGTTCAAAATTTAAACATCACAGAGGATAAGATAAATGAGAAAATCTGTTTTATTGATGGTGGGAGAAATCATGTATCACGGTACTAAGCCTCTTTCTGTTCCCACTGTGACCACTTCCCAAACGGAAGACCAATCAAAGACCTTTGATTGATTTCTGTGGGAATGGGATACAGTCTATCACCCCCTTAACACACCATACTTTGATCTTTCCCAAAAATATAGGTCTGGAACACTACAGTGAAATAGTACAAAAGATTCAGAGATAATTATCTTGATGACTGTGCATATATCACACTGTTGTGGTTTTGGGTTTTTTTTTCTTTTTTTCCCCATGTGGTTTAGAAAGGAAAATATCAGCAAAACTATTAATATCTTGTGACATTTAATAACAACTGGGAATGAATTAATGTTGCATTTTAACTGCATTCCTACTTACTTGTACTATCACATTTGCATCCATCTCCAAGAATCCATCATGATTAATAAAAGTGTAATGAATGTTAAGATGTAGAAACACTGATTTACCTCTTTTATAAAGCATCACTAAATAATCCTGAAAATCAACATAAAAAAATAACCTTTATTCAGTTACGTGTATTTGGTGAATTTGTCTCAAGAAACACCTTTAAGTAAAAGCAGTTGCTTTCAGGGATTGAATTGCTTTGTGGAGTTCAGAGAAATTATGGTTACTCAATAGAAGAAATTTACCTCTCAACAGAGAGGTGAATAATTGCTGAGTGATGAGAAAGATATAAAATATAAATGGAGTATATGAAACAGTCATGGCAAGTATCATTTTTCTGGATGCTGAAGACACTATTGATGAATTTCCTTTCATTGTGTAAAATGAATAAACCTATGCCGAATAATGAAATTAAATATTCCATCCTCTTGCCAGAAAAGCAGAAAATACTTGAAACAAACTGCATTTCCAGATGTGATCTAAATCTCCACTGAGTAATAACCTCATTTGCCTACTGAAGATCATAGCAAAAATGAAAATTCATCATTTCACTAGATTTAGAAAAATTAAAACAGTAACAATGTATTGAAGTAAACAACCAAGGGACTAGAGATTTGCAGATGAGATTTACCCCAAATGCATTTGTAATAATAGATGGAAAAACAGCCTTTGTTTTGACAGCTACAGAACCCAATATATCAAAAGAAGAATATGTTACACAAAAGAACATTTTTCTCCTCTCATGATTTCTGCCATCTATTTGAAAACAATCAAGTACAGCTTGACATGTGATGTGTGGGAACTGTATTTAAACTAGCATGAAACGGTAAGGGCAAGCATCTCCCATGAGACATTTCTCATTTCTATTTTCTATCTTCCCTTTGTGTCTTGTCTTCCTTTTAAGCATAGTATTGCAAGGCAGGAAAAAATAATAAAATTTAAAAAAACTGGACCAGACAGTGTGCTTCAGAAGCAGGGCCTTTGGTGAACTTGAAAAGCATGAAACAGAGGGAATCTGGCAGAAACTGATTAAATGAAAATCCCACTGCTAAAGAGAAAACTATGGTAATAGCACAGATCTGTAGTTGTCTCCCACACTACTGCCTTCCCCTGCAATCAGATCTTATGGAGGGCTCTTGAGTGAGACACTGTCCTTCTCCCCCACTGCACTCACCTCTGAATTACCAGTTACATCTGACTCTTGTTGTACCACATGTGATCTGCTTCATTTTCAGAGTATGAAAAAAACACCTAGGACCAAAGGCATCTAAGACAGAAGGAACAGAGAGTTCAGTTCACCACTGGCAGCATGCTTAAGATATAATTCTGTTGTCCTAAAAAGGTCAGTGTTTCTGTGCCTTAACAGGGTAGAAATTTCCCCTAAGAAAATGCAAAAGATCTTCATATTGCTCTGGCTCCCACACATGCTTGACAAGAACAAGGCATTTTGATCCCTGGTATACTTGCACTAAGGAAAGGTTGAACTTGCACCTCACCAGTGATGGGCTAGAACACATTGGCAGTCTTTAATTCACTAACATTCGAAGAAGGAATGGAAAATATCTTCTTGCTTGCAAAAAAGAGAACACATCCTTCCCCCTTAACTATTTGCTATCTTACATATCAGACCTGTCTTCTACTACTTGGCTCCATGGAACAGGATAAAGTTAGGAAGAGGCCAGCAGACTTTATAGATGCTCTCCACAGCAAAATGGAAATAAAAGGTTGTATAAATGGAAATAAAATAAATAAATGGAAACAAAAGGCTGAGTACACTTGGCAACTACAACGGTGAGAGATGATGTTCTGACAGTTGGGCTAGTAGAGCTACAAGACCAGGAAAGGCAATTTTGGGAAAGGCAACAAAGCTGCTCTAAGGCCAATGTAGCCTTAACTTTGGCTGAGTTGCCTTCCCCAAGTATTCAAGAAGAGAAGTATAACAAAGGAGAGTGAGCAGGGCAGGGCCTGGCTGCAAGGAGGCTTTGGGGAAAATCTGAGGGAGGGGGAGGGGGAGAGAAGAAAAACTCTAAGAGAGGGAAAAGGAAAGAGCATAAGGAAAGGCATGATTAACAACCTGCAATGATATGCAGTGTGAGGAATGTGATCTGAGTACACAATTCAGTTATATGGTATGTTTAGTTCTAATCCAGTATTGTGTGCAGCTGCTGTGCAGCTGATAGCAAAATGAGGATAACAGGAGGAAGGAAATTTGTTACATTGCCTCTGGGCCACTGATCTAACAGAAATATTCCCCTCTGGGAGAAGTCCCTCCAGAAAGTTTCTTTTATTGCAGGTTACAAAGATGACCCTCACCTTGATCCAAAATTCATATTAATCAGACTTGTCCTCTTGATCAGCCAGAATATAAATGAGCATGCCTGCTTTATGCTCATGCCAAAACATGTATAATGAGAATGTGGAAAATACAGAGAGTTCCTGGTGAGCAAAAAAGGTCCCAGAATAAGTTTCCTTGTAAGATAATGGAAACATAGCAGCCTCCTCAAAACAGATTAAATTCCCTTTGAAGTGAACAGTATGCATAAAGAAATAGCTGCTTCGTCTTCTTGAAACCATCAAGGAATTCTACAAGAAACTGAATTTTGTAGAGAACGAATTTGTAGCTCACAACCTATGGCATATAAAGGATTAAAGGATTCTATCACTATTTTGGAATAATTTTAAATGACTTGTGGGTTAACTGTAAGAAAGAAA